CCTACGCACCCTTCTGACGGAATTTTCTGATGTCTTTAGTAAACACAAATATGACATTGGGTGCACGAAATTATTGCCTCACCACATTGACACGGGTGACAATGCCCCGGTACGCCAGAATCCTTTTCGGTTAAGTCCGGCCGAAAAGGATCATGTCAAATCGGCAGTGGATGCCATGTTGGCTGCAGACATTATAGCCCCTTCCACCAGTCCATGGGGAGCACCCATAGTGCTTGTCAAAAAGCATGATGGGTCCTTGCGATTCTGTGTGGATTTTCGCCGCCTTAATAAGATCTCCGTGGCCGACGCGTATCCACTTCCCCAGATGTACGAATCTCTGGATGCTCTGGCTGGCGCACGTTTTTTTTTCTACGTTGGACTTGTTATCTGGATTCTGGCAACTCCCATTGGATGATGAGTCCAAGCCAAAGACTGCGTTTCGCACACCACACTGCCTATTCCAATTTAACCGGTTACCTATGGGATTACACTCCGCTCCGGCGACATTTCAGCGCCTTATGGAACTGGTTTTGGCTGGCTTACAGTAAAACGTCTGTCTGATCTATCTGGACAATGTCATCGTGTTCAGCAAGACATTTGACGAACACCTTTTGCGCTTGCGCGCCGTGTTCCTCAAAATGCGCGCTGCGAATTTGAAATTTAAGCCGCAAAAGTGCCACCTGCTACGGGAATCCGTACGCTATTTGGGGCACATCGTCAGCCGCTCGGGCATATCCACCGATCCCGCAAAGACGCAGTGTGTCAGCTCCTGGCCAACCCCCACCTCGGTGGCTGAGGTCAGGAGTTTCATTGGATTTGTGTCTAATTACCGGCGGTTCGTCGCGGATTTCGCAACCATTGCTAAGCTCTTACACGTTCTGACGGCGAAGGGAGTGAAGTTTCACTGGGGCCAGGATGAGGGGGTCGCTTTTTGTTCCCTTCGTGACGCTCTCGTGCGGGCCCCTCCATTGAGCTACCCCGATTTTTCGGAACCCTTCCTGCTTGACACAGACGCCAGCAATACGGGCATTGGGGGTGTGCTCTCACAGGTGATCGGTGGTGTGGAACGCATCGTGGCTTATGGCAGTAGGGTTTTGTCTCCGGCGGAACAGAGATACTGCGTCACGGGTCGGGAACTCTTGGCTATTGTATTTTTTATACAACAGTATCGCCCATACCTGTGTAGTGCCGTGAATTCACTCAGACGACAACCGTCTTTCTTCCACCGTCACTTTTATTCCATCGTTCCGTACACACAGTAATTCTCCTCTTCGCGCTCCGCCAACTCGGACACTGCGATTCACTTCAGCATCGTCCGTGCATCCCCTTCCACCCACAGTGGTTCTTCCTCTATCTCTTCACACACAGTGTCGCCGATAATCTCTTCACACACAGTGACTTCCCTTCCACACACAGTGGTTCTTCTTCTATCTCCTCACACACAGTGTCCTGTCTGTCTATTCACACACAGTGACTATCTATATATTCACACACAGTGACTCTATCTATCTATTCACACACAGTGACTCTATCTCCGCACACACAGTGACTCTATCTATCTCCGCTAATGCTAACTCTCCCTATCGCTATTTACTGTCTTTTGGGTTTGGCTCTCTATCTATTCTTCCCTAACATTGCCAGCTGTCCTCTTCGTATCTCTCCACCTCTCGCCAACAACTCCCCAGCAACAACTCCCTCTGCGCTCAAATCACCTCGCGTTTTATCCCCTTTCCCATTAGCCTTAATTAATTGCCACGTGGCTCGCTGGCATTTTCCCGCCAGCTCGCACCTATCCCCTCCGTCAGACTTCGAGACGCCACCACTTAACGCTAACAGCCTCTCGACCAATCACAGCCTTCGTGCCACGACTCCCTTAATTACTTCGGGTTGTTTACGCCACCCGTGACTCGACCACCTGTTCGACCTCATGTGACCCGTTCTCCTTGTCTGTCTGTATGTACTGTATGTGGCCAATTCCTATGCGTATCGTTTACTCCACTACACCTGTACGGACGGCATTTCACAGTCCGTACGGACCATGCGGCATTACAATATGCCTTGCGGGTAGAGCAGCCTTTGGGGCAATTGTCCCGATGGCTCGAAATCCTTCAGGATTATGATTTCACGACCACATATCGGAAGGCTGCTCGGCACACTAATGCGGATGTGCTGTCTCGCCTGCCACCCGCCTCAGATTGCGCTTGTCTCAGGGGATCGGGGCATTGTAAGCCGCCTGAGGATAGCCCCCCCTTAGATATCCCGGTTCTCGCTGCTGCCACTGAGGACCCCTTGCCTGAGGGTCCTGTCGGGGAGGGAGATGCGGATTCCTTGCTGGGGTTGTCCGTTGCGGAATGGGGGCGCCTCCAGATGGAGGACGCATCCCTCCTCGCGTTGCGTCGTCGCGCAGGGGGTTCTGTGCGGGGGGTCGCAGGGATTGATTCGTACGGGCTGCTCCAGGGGCTCCTGATGCATTGGGATGAGAGGGCCTGCCGTCACAGGCTTGTGGTGCCATCCGCTTTGCGGGGTAAGGCCATTTGGGCCGCACATGAGCGGCTTTTGCACCTGGGGACCCACAAGACCCTTGCCATGCTCCAGCTGGATTTCTTCTGGCCGGGTATGGCAAGGGATGTGGATGACCTCCTGGGTGCATGCACTCAGTGCGCCCAATGAAAACCACCAGCGAAAGGCGCCTGCCCACCGCTACAATCTATCACGGTCTCTCGGGTTAACGAACTCGTCGCACTCGATATATTGGGGCCCTTCCCTGCGACCCCTAGGAGTAACAAGTACCTGCTGGTTGGCGTGGAATATTTCACCCGATGGCCTATGGCATGGCCTCTCGCTAACCAGTCAGCAGCAGCCGTTGCCGAGGCGTTTGTACAGGGCTATGTCCTCGACAAGGGTGCTCCCGAACGGCTGCTGACTGACCAAGGGAAGAACTTCTCTGGCGTCCTTTTGCACGAGGTGTGTGCGCTTCTTGGTACGAAAAAGATTCGCACTTCCCCCTATCACTCACAAACAGATGGCATGGTGGAGCGGCTGCATAGGACGCTCACATCTATGTTGTGTCACCAGGTGTGTGACTCCCAGACCGATTAGGACCTTCACATTCCGGGGGTTTTGGCCGCCTATAGAATGGCTCCTCACGCGGCAACCGGCTTCTCGCCGTTCTTTTTGATGTACGGTCGCGACGTTGACCCACCAATTGCGACTCAGCTCCGCGTCTCGGAAACCAGCAGAAAATCGAAATTGGCCGACCACGTTAAATTTAATATCCTGAGGTTGACCGAGGCGCGGGAGGCAGCGACTCAAAACTCTTCCTCTCGGCAGAAGGCCAACGAGAGTTTGCGATCGCGCCAGTCACGCACACATGCGTGGAAGCCAGGCGATCAAGCCTGGCTGCACTGCCTTCAGGTGCCGTTGGCGACCTCGGCGAAATTGTTGCGGCCTTGGAGGGGCCCTGTGGTTATTGTGAAGGTTATGCGGCCGCAGTGCGTTCGTATCCAGTGGGGGAAATGCCGCTGGTACGTACACCCCTCGCATCTGAAGCCGTTTGTGGCGCCGCGTGTCCCTCCACCACATTACACGGGCCGAGCATGTGATGTGTCCGCTGACTCCCGGACGGCGTCTTCGTCGCCTGCCCCTGATGCTTCGCTGTTCCACCTTCAGGCGCCTCAAGAGTGAAGGCTTCCAGCGCGCCTGCGCCACCCGGTGGGGACAGAATTTGCCCTCCCGGAGTGACGGAAGACGGTGCACCTGCACAGCCGGTGCCCACTGCCGGGCCGACCGGGCCCTCCCCCTACGATGGACCCGCAAAACGGACTCGCGCCAAAACGCGCCGCTTGTTGTAATAATGGTTCTTGTTACTCTTGTTGTTCACTGTTAAGTTTTCTTGCTGCGTTGATAGGGGGGGTACAATGTATATGTGTATATAGTGTAATTTTGTATAGGTGGGTTGGGTTATTTATTGGGGTGTTCGTTCTTATGAGGCACGCACGGGTGGGGGTTTGTTGTGTTTATTATTCGAGTATTGTTGCAGCCGGGACGGCTGCGGGTTCCACGGGAGGGGGTGATGTAGGGGTGCTATGGGGAATAAACACATGGCACGGGAAGGTATGGTTCACCCACACCTTGGTGGCTACAACAACGTCCGCTAAGGCTCCACCCCCTGTGGGTATAAAGTGCGGGGAGCCAGGGAGCTCGGGGCAGAGTGTTGGGCCCGAGGCTGAAGCAACCAGTGAAGAAAGAAGGCCAGCTAGGTGAGACCCTGGAACTCCTGTGACCGCTGCCCTTTTCAGGGCCGGCACAGCAAGCCAGTGGTGCGGCCCCAGAACCAGAATCCTTCTGAGGGCCGGTCTGGTCGGTGGGGTGCCAAGATCTATGCCTAACCAGGGCCAGATCTGATAGCCTCCCTTAGAGCCCTACCAGGAGGAACTGGGAGCCTAGATCTTAGGCTAGAGAGCCTGGGGTGTGTTCCTGAGTTATACGGGTAAAGGGGCCGCTACCCCTTCTAGTGTAACCCTTGTTAAGGTTTAAATAAAGAGTGCTGCCTCTACTCTGCCGTCTCCGTATCCTGGAATCCACTACATGTGTATGTACGTCAATGTGTGTATGTACGTCAATGTGTGTGTAAGTCCATATGTGTGTGTGTGTGAGTCTCTGTGTGTGAGTCGCTGTGTGTGTGTAAGTCGATGTGTGTGCGTGTGTGGCTCTATGTGCGTGTGAAAGTCGATGTGTGCGTGCGTGAGTCTTTGTGTGTCAGTCGATGTGTGTGTGTACGTCAATGTGTGTGTGAGTCCATGTGTGTGTGTACGTCGATATGTGTGTGTGTAAGTCGATGTGTATGTGTGTGTGTAAGTCGATGTGTTTGTGCGTGTGTGGGTCGATGTCTTTGTGTGTAAGTCAATGTGTGTGTGTCTTTTTCGCCCGGGCAACGCCAGGTACTTTCCGCGAGTAATATGTAATTATTGACCGAGGAAAGCCATACTGAATCCAAACACTTTTGGTGGTAATGTGTTTACTTTTATACCGTATCTTGCACAGTTTAGATAGTCTCAGGCTGGTTGAGAAATATATCTGGGTTTGCTCTGTGGAAAAGCTGGCGACCTGACTAGACCCACAAGGCTGAACAATCATTGCGTGATCGCTAACGGTGCCATCGTGCAAATCTCTCCCAATGTACTAATGGAACTACAAGAGCAAACTCCATGTCCACTCATTCGGCAAATGCAGGGCAGTTTTAAAGCGACAACACAGTTAAATACTAGTTTTATAGGTAGACGTTCATAACCAATTTTCATGGTTTATAATTAGTTTATTTTGAGTTAGATGGTCATGTAGGTATTGTCAATTTTAACTATAACCCTCCGCCCGACAGATCCAATCAAATCAAGTTGTCACATGGGGGCAAATATGCCGAGTGATTTGGTTGACCAACAAAACTAGAAAAACCCAAGCAGAATGCTGATAATGCTTACATGACATGTTGCTGGAGATTACACCCAGCATCATTAAGCGTTTAACAAAAGCTCAGCTCTTGCATAAAAAGAGCTTCCTGATGTGGGTCTTCAAAAGCTGAGCTGTTATTAAACACCTGATTATGCTGGCTGTAATCTCCAGCTAAAGGTCGAATACAAATTGTAAACATTTAACTTTTTAACATTCCTCCAGTTTTGCTGATAAACCAAATCGATTGGCACATTTCCCCCCTTGTTACAACAGAATTTAATTGGCTCTCTGGTGGTGGAGGGCTATATTTAAACATTTACATACCAATACGATCTAACCCAAAATAAACTAATTATGAATCACGGTTAAACACAAGACAGTATAATAAAACTGACACTGTTTTAAGAAAGAAAAATAATAATAATAACACTAGTATTAAAGTGTGCATAGATATGTTCACAATATTGATTTATTTACTGGAAGAGGTATAACTTGGCAGTAAAACTTTGTCCGGCTTTACTCTCTGGACAAGGTGGCAACCCTCGTCCACCCCAACCAGAGGGAGCCAATGCGGTGCCTGCAAGGCGGCAGAGGGACGGCGACTGCTGCTACCTCTCCAGGAAGCCTGCGAGGATGGGCAGCACGTGTTTGCGGGTAGCAGAGTGTGTGCCTTGCTGGAAGCTGGACACCACGGGGGACATGCTCTCTATCGCACGCAGCTGCAAGTCGGGGCTATCAGCCGCCTGCAATGCCCCACAGATCTACACAAAGAAAAACCACGAGTCGGTGAGAGAGAAACATCATAACATATATATGAAGTTTAATTTATGTACAACTAGAGTGCATTATATATGAACCAACGATGTATACCATCTAATTATGTTTATTTTATTTGTTTAGGTACGATGTTCATTGCATAAATGCATTCTGTGTATGTTATAGATTTAACACATTTATAGATGTGTCAGTATGTGTTTGCTAAGTATGTGTGAACGGATAACATGGACACCCCTGAAAATGAAATGTTCCATCTCAAAGATAAATTTCAGATGAAATATGTACACATATATATTTCCCAACCAGGTGAGAACTAGAGCGACCAAGACCTTGACTCAGTCATAAGAGTGACATTGGTCACAAAAATATATCAAGCAAACATCAAATAGGTCACTTGCAAATGAGAAGATCCTAACCTTTCAAGTTACCAACTGATTAAACTAACTCCACTTGAAACTACATTTGAATCTGCGGTTACCCAGACACACCTGTGCCTGCAGTGCTTCACAGCAGCTGTACACAGCCACCTGTCGAGAGGGCACGGGGCTCCCCTCCGGGAAGGAGACCGCCATGAGCACGAGTGCAGCGTACCCATCAGCCGGACCCCGGGCCTGACAGAAAGCGCGCAAGTCTTCCTCCAGTTGCGCTCGCCCCAGGTATTCCTGTCGCAGAAGAGAAACCGACGGTTGGGAGAGGGGGCTCAGCTTTGGGAGGTGGGGAAGTCCTATTCTCAATTAGAATGAAAAATGATTGCACCCATTGCATAGCTTCCGTCTCGCAGTGCGCTCACCTACACGTAGCTCAATCTATTATTTGGCTGGTTATTAATCCTGGGCCAGGTGACTTTCCTGTGTGTCACTGTGCTGGCTGTGGGTCGTTTGTATCCCACTCCTGCCATAAATTTTCATTAAAGTCACCGGTAATCGACCGCCAACGGTGCTATTCCACACCATGTGTGCATACGTGCGTTGTGTGCGTGTGACCGAATGAACGAACTCGATTTATGTTTTGAAATTGAAGTGAAGCGAATAACATCAGCTGTCTGGCATATTGTGAACATTTCACAGGCCCAGTGCATTTCACAAATAAACTCAAAGTCAAAGAGCTATCCTCTTAAAATTGCTATTAAAGTGGTGTTCAACATCTGTTTGCAGACCGAAGCCTGTGGTGGAAATTCTGCATTTTATGGTGTGGGTGAGTCTATCCACAGGACAACCACTGTTGATTTCCCCACAAAGTGGTACTCATTCTATCACTCCGAGAGGGATGATGGGCTGACTTATCCCCCAACCAGTATTTCAACTTGCACGAGTATGTAAACTATAAACTATTAAAACTGAACTATTTTTATTTTAACAGATAAAACCCACTGAGCTATATAGCTATTTTTCAGAAGCACCTTTGCCACAAATGATAGTTCAACGAAGTGGCTTATCATGCGGACATTTATAGCAGCAAAATACTGTTTCTAAATGTGGAGGGAAAAACCAGAGAACCTTGAGAAAATTCCATGCGACCACGAGAACATGCAAACTCCAAATATAGAGGTGTTACGGTCGGGATTGAACCCACGACCTCCTGCATACCAGGCGAGAGAATTAACATCTTAGCACCGTGGCGGCGACGACACATTCAAACACACGTGCGGCTGACGACGGCACAAGCGTGGTTCACAGGTGTCCCGCATGCAGGCGATGTCACCGGGGTGATGCACATTCAGACAATTACAAGGGCTAGGTGTGACCCAGGTTTGACCCAGACAGTCCCTTGGGTTGCCAGTCAGTCCAGGACTTGGCACCTGCGTTCAGGTGGCAAGAGTTGATTTGTACCGAGACAGTATTGTGTTGTACTTTTCTACAGTATTCTTGACAGTTTAGAAAGACCCAGCTGGCTGAGAAATATATCTGGGTTTGCTCTGTGGAAAAACTGGTGACCTCACCCACAAGGCTGAAAAATCATTGCGTGATCACTCACGGCACCATCGTGCAAATGTCCTCTCCAAATGTATCAATGAAGTGCAAGAACACTCATTTGGCAAATCCTGGGCAGTTTCAAAGCCACAAGACAGTTAACATTGTATAATAAAATGTAATACTGTTTTAGTTACTATATATAACGACACCACTATTAAATCGTGAGTTGATATGTTTGCAATATTGACTTATTTACTGGAAAGAAATAAGAAATAACTGTAATAAAACAATGCTCAACTTTCACATCAACAGCCTAAATGCTCCAATTAAGCAGCATAACAGTACAATGATCAACATGACTTAACGTCTCCGCAGCACTGAGTGCTCGTCTGGTATTAAAGAAACTTATTGTGAATCGGAGAGATGCACAGCATATGCTCGTTCCTACAGCGGAGACTCACAGCATGCATATGTAGAATGAGACAATGACAAACTACTTCAAGGAAGTTAAAATCTCGTTATTAATTTAATTTGACTCAATTTCTTAAATCCTCAGGAACCCAATTTGTCATTTTTACTGTAGCGCAACTTTCATTTTAACTGACGATATTAAAACCTTTCCCGGCATAGCATCATTCTGAATTTAATGGAGCCCATTAAAGTTGATTAGTAGGCCTAGCAGAAGAGGCTGGGTGAGCACAGTATCAGGCCAGCTGGGTCGCAGCAGCTACCAATGAATCACCTCCGCCCAAACCCAACAACACCCATCACCGCACCCCCACCGTACCCCCACCCCTCAAATCAAAGCCAGCAAACTGTCAAAAGCAAACCAAGGATCTAAAACATCACTCATTCCCATCCACCACCAATAACACAGTAACTCCTATCTACCACCACCGCCCCTACAGTGAGGGAAAAAAGTATTTGATCCCCTGCTGATTTTGTACGTTTGCCCACTGACAAAGGAATGATCAGTCTATAATTTTTATGGTAGATTTATTTGAACAGTGAGAGACAGAATAACAACAAAAAAATCCAGAAAAATGCATGTCAAAAATGTTATAAATTGATTTCCATTTTAATGAGGGAAATAAGTATTTGACCCCCTCTCAATCAGAAAGATTTCTGGCTCCCAGGTGTCTTTTATGCAGGTAACGAACTGAGATTAGGAGCACACTCTTAAAGGGAGTGCTCCTAATCTCAGCTTGTTACCTGTATAAAAGACACCTGTCCACAGAAGCAATCAATCAATCAGATACCAAACTCTCCACCATGGCCAAGACCAAAGAGCTCTCCAAGGATGTCAGGGACAAGATTGTAGACCTACACAAGGCTGGAATGGGCTACAAGACCATTGCCAAGCAGCTTGGTGAGAAGGTGACAACAGTTGGTGAGATTATTCGCAAATGGAAGAAACACAAAAGAACTGTCAATCTCCCTCGGCCTGGGGCTCCATGCAAGATCTCACCTCGTGGAGTTGCAATGATCATGAGAACGGTGGGGAATCAGCCCAGAACTACACGGGAGGATCTTGTCAATGATCTCAAGGCAGCTGGGACGATAGTCACCAAGAAAACAATTGGTAACACACTATGCCGTGAAGGACTGAAATCCTGCAGCACTCGCAAGGTCCCCCTGCTCAAGGAAGCACATATACATACCCGTCTGAAGTTTGACAATGAACATCTGAATGATTCAGAGGACAACTGGGTGAAAGTGTTGTGGTCAGATGAGACCAAAATGGAGCTCTTTGGCATCAACTCAACTCGCCGTGTTTGGAGGAGGAGGAATGCTGCCTATGACCCCAATAACACCATCCCCACCGTCAAACATGGAGGTGGAAATAGGAATAGGTTTTACCCTTTTAACTGGCACAAAAACTGACACCTTTATTCAAGGCATCATGTTTGCAATAACCACAACACAAGCAGTCAAAATGCAAACAAAAAAGACAACTCTGATAATAATATGCACTGTCCTTGAATTTGATTGGTCCACACCCGAGACAGCTTTTCTTAGAGCCTAGTCTCCATTGGTGTTGGACCAGAAGATGCCAAAAGGCGTACAACTCAAAAACAGCACACTATCAGAGTATTGAGGGCTCGGGGTGAGCATTTCCATTATGAGACCTCCTTTGCCAGTAACAAGATATAGGAATAGGTTTTACCCTTTTAACTGGCACAAAAACTATTGCAAACATGATGCCTTGAATAAAGGTGTCAGTTTTTGTGCCAGTTAAAAGGGTAAAACCTATTCCTATATCTTGTTACTGGCAAAGGAGGTCTCATAATGGAGGTGGAAACATTATGCGTTGGGGGTGTTTTTCTGCTAAGGGGACAGGACAACTTCACCGCATCAAAGGGACGATGGACGGGGCCATGTACCATCAAAACTTGGGTGAGAACCTCCTTCCCTCAGCCACGGCATTGAAAATGGGTCGTGGATGGGTATTCCAGCATGACAATGACCCAAAACAGACGGCCAAGGCCACAAAGGAGTGGCTCAAGAAGAAGCACATTAAGGTCCTGGAGTGGCCTAGCCAGTCTCCAGACCTTAATACCATAGAAAATCTGTGGAGGGAGATGAAGGTTCGAGTTGCCAATCGTCAGCCTCGAAACCTTAATGACTTGGAGAAGATCTGCAAAGAGGAGTGGGACAAAATCCCTCCTGAGATGTGTGCAAACCTGGTGGCCAACTACAAGAAACGTCTGACCTCTGTGATTGCCAACAAGGGTTTTGCCACTAAGTACTAAGTCATGTTTGCAAAGGGGTCAAATACTTATTTCCTTTATTAAAATGCAAATCAATTTATAATATTTTTGATATGCGTTTTTTCTGGATTTTGTTGTTGTTATTCTGTCTCTGTTCAAATAAACTTACCGTAAAAATTATAAACTGAGCATTTCTTTGTCAGTGGGCAAACGTACAAAATCAGCAGGGGATCAAATACTTTTTTTCCCTCACTGTATTTAACATAACACTCACTCCCATCCACCACCAATAACACAATACTCCTCCAACCTAGCCTCGCCACCACTATCTTAGCAAGAATCAATCCCATCCACCACTACTTAACACAACACACACTTACATCCACCACGACCACCTAACTCACACTCCCATGCACTACCAGTAATTAAAACATCACATGCTCACAGCCACACACTCCCATCCATAACTGCTCAGAAAACACTGTTGAGATCCTGGGATGAAATGCAAGCCCAAAAGCACAGCTCTTGAGCCAATTTGGCGTAGGGTTGACTTGCTGCCAATGGAATGTAGGCTCACGAGTCAGCCCCTTTTACAAACTGAGCCAGCACACTTTTTCGTTATTGCCTGGTATGGGTAGGTGCCCCTATATCAGTGTTGTTCATTGCAAGGCCCGCGGCCCACTGGCGGCCCCTGGTAGCTTTTAGTGCAGCACCTGGCGTGCGGCATCCGACAATACACAAATATGAAAAGACCCCATCATACTATATTCTTGGTTCTTTCCCTTCTACGTGACTTTACCGAAAGAACCAAGAATATGAATCCCTGCAGTCACGAAAGCTTTAAATCAAAATGTACCCCATCAAACTGTTAAACCCAATGGTTTTAACTGTATAGTGGCCCTCACACTGATGTCTTATCTGCGAAATTGCCCCCCCCTCTGATAATGAGTGAAGAACACTTCCCTATACAGTATAGCTACTCTGCTCTTTAAGGCACTCAAGCCTCTTCACCCCAGAAAGTCAATGCTGTGTTGAAGA